GTGATGGGTAGATCATATTAATCCATGTGACTTATTACTGCGATAATAACAAGAAATGTCGTTGCAAGTAGATAGACGAGAGACAAACGGAGATAGGAACCAGTTGCTAATAGTTTTCTGCCAGTAGTGCTCCAGAAGAATCAAGGGGTGCACACAAAAAACACTCCCGTTTAGAAATAAACAATAATTGAAAGAAATTACAAGTTTAATTTAATTTCACCCGTCTCAATATTAATACTTAAATAAGACTCGATATTAATACTGAATCTGCGATTACTTCGAGAACCGACAAAACTAAACCGAGAATTAAAAGCGAATGCGGGCAGGTACACGAATGTCCAAAAAAAAAAAAAATATTTAAGATTGCTTGAAAAAACTGTCGGTCAAAGAACAAGTGCGAAGTGCATTTTCGAAGTGCGTTTCCTCCGGGGAGGATCCTGATAAAAAGCTATCGCGGGGTGGGGCTTCGGTTCGGGAATTAAGAATATCTCGCAAATCTTTAACGAATAGGAATTAGCGAATCATTAGGGATGTGGGGGGAGTTAGCCTACCATAGTTCAGAATTTTGGAAAAAGAGTCTGATTGGTATGAGGAGAATTTTTTAGGAATGATAGTTAGATAGTGGGTCTGAGCCTTTATCAACATACGGCATCTAAATATTTGTGAGCGAATGGGTGGTCGGCGGATTAAATAACCGACGCCACGAAGGCGGCTATTCGAATACGCAGTTTTCCCATGAGGCAAAACAGATACCTATTCGGGCAATTTATGATTTTCCGTCATCGTCAGTGCACTAAGGATTTCTTTGCGTTCGGCATACGGCTTAAGTCTTATCTTAACTTAATTGTAATTCAATCGGGTTTTATAGTTTATTTGTTAGTTCGAAAAGCGAGCCCTTAACGGTCTGAGGTTCACGTGTTCGGCAGACTGGCGTCCACGGAGCTAAAGTAAAAATTATCTTAATTTACAGAATGATATTTTTATGCTGTATAGGAGTTCGCTCCAAAAAGAGAGAAGAATTGTGAAGTCCGCCGGACGTAATTGGCTCCGCAAGATTTTGTATCGTAGAGAAAAGTGCATAAACCATATTATCTATTGATATTATTAATTGAATATGTTATGTCGATTGAATGCGTTAAGAGATTAGTTCAGTACAAAGATATAAAGAAAATATATCCTAGATAGCAAAATGTTTCAAATTTGCTGTTATATAACCGAAAGTCGTTGCAACAACTAATTTAAACAAATTCGGGACAAGGTGAGACAGTATTATGTCTGTCGCATTGAACTCAATGGAATGATAATTTTAATAATGACAAATCGATGGCAATATGTCAGAATCAATCTACTGTTCACAACTTAACGACAACTCGTGTTGTCAATTTGTAAACCGCAATTACCAACACGTTGATAGCAACTTGGCGATAACTTGAAAGCAATTCGTCATCATCGGTATGCTATCCACATATGCTGATAATATGCCAACTAAATGTTCTGTGTCAGTTTTTCTGGTAAAAATGACGGACAGAATCGGACAGAATAGACAAGATTTCTATTAGTTTCTGTTTAGCTGTCTATATACAGATAAAATTAACAGCTTACAGTTTAGATAGAAATCATATCCATTTCTGTCTGATTCTGTCCATAATTTTTACCAGAATTGTGCATTGTAAATATTTCGAAACAACACCAACAATGTTCAAAAGGTAATAGAGCATATATAAATTTATAGTAGATACCGATTTTTGAAGCAATGTGTGTCCAAAAATATCGCATTTTTTAACAAAATGAGAATAAAATTATATCAGAAGAAATTTTTAAACAGATTCAAGACAGATTTCAAGACAACAAACTGTTTCAAAAACGCTTCTAACTATATTATATAACTATATTACCATTTAATCAAAATTGTATTAATTAGTCAGGGAATGTTGTTAATTTTTATTCATATTTCTATTTTATTTTACTATATTATGTGTAATATGATCCATATAAAGTTGCAATATACATATATCAGTTGTTTAGGATAATATATGTGCAGAAATGGGCAGTATTTGAAATACATATATTTGAAATACGTATTTAAATACATTTTGTATCTTGTATTTTGTATTTAAATACTTTTTTTAGAGTATTTTGTATTTTGAATTTTATTTTTAAATACATTTAAATTTTGTAAAACGATCAGCCAAACAGCATCGTGTCTACTGTCTGCAGTAGTTGAATTCGTCGAAATTATTATACATGAAGATAAATTCGTTGATTTTCAATCAATCATGATTCGATTTTAAAAAGAATATCGATGGCAGTCGAAAACTGTTAGTATTGCATCATGCATAGAATGAGTATTCCGTGGTGTAGTGCATCAGTGATCGCAAAATAATCATTTGTTTACATATTCGTACATATCATCGCAGTGAGTTAGGGTAATATTACATTCGTCGTACAATTTTTTTAAGCGTGTTGATTGGCTGCAGGATAGAGCAATTCTCCAGTTTTTAGAAACTTTCTATCCTGTAGCCAATCAACACGCTTAAAAAAATTTGTACGACAAATGTAGTAGTACCCTTACTTGAGTTTTTTTACGCGGACGTAGATCTATCAGCGAGTTGATTTTTTTTATCATCGACTGTCCTGAGACGTGTACAATCTATGCATAAATAAATTCGATATCGGTGTAAAGCTTATATCAGACTAAAGATTAAGATTGAAATTTGACTAATCCAAATAAAGTTCACTAAACTTGAGATTGATTTTCTTCTTTTTCATTGGTTAAATTCCAATCTAATTTCAATCTCAATCTCTAGTCTGATACAGGCTTAAGTGTAATGATCAATCATATAAGTGAAATGATGAACTAATAGTGAAAGTGTAATAATTTCTGTGTAAGCTAAAATCGTGTTAAATATAATTAACATATTAACCATGGATGAAATGGAAGAGAATATCAATTTTTTTCTTTCGAGAAAAAGGAATGTATCAGATAATATACCATCAACAAGCGCTCCGGTTCCATTCACTTCCGGTTATTTTAAGTTCAGAATTCTTCGAAGTTATTGGAGAAGTAGATATCGATTCAAAAGTGAAGGCAAGATGTCTTATGTGCAAAAAGAAATCAAAGAATAAGGATAATATTATTATTAGTGGTTCGGTCTTAGCGACATCGAATTTTCGTCTCCACATTAAAGTTAGTTTAACACAAATACATTAAATAAGATTTTAAATTTGTTGGAAGATTGGTTCTATTATTAACACGAAAATATTAATTCCACATAGAAAATAATGATTTAAAATTGAAGTTATTTTAATGCTATAAACGTGGATTTTAGCGTGTACATCCTGAGAGTTTACCACATCTTCAAAAATTACGATGATAATAAAAAAAAATTAATCAATTTTCAAAAAAAATTCTGAAATGCAAATTGGGAATACCAAACCAAAGTTAATTCAAAGAAAGTTTTATGACGTCAATAACGATGCGATAAAAAAAAACAAAATCAGTTTGAAAAAAATGTATTAGCTGACAATGTGGCAGAGGCATGAAGCCTCTAAGCAGTCGAAGATATTAATTTTATCAAAATGATACGAAGTAAACAAAATATATTATGGATGTATATGGATATTGTAAAAATATGTAATGTTCATTTTATGTATTTTTACAATTTTTTTTTAACTGCAGACTTAGACAATAAGATACATTATTTCACGACGATCGTTAGGCCGTCACTTAAATAATGAATTTATACACGTATCTGAACTGTTTAAGACCACATTGAAAAGCATACCATTCGTTGCAACGACTGCCGATATTTGGTCAAATAAACATAAAAGTTTTATGGGAATAACGATACATTGAGTAAGTCACTCTTAATAAATAATATAATATTAAATAATATTAATAATATAAATATATGCGTAAAGTACATAGTAATATTAATTATTATATCTGAAATTTTAACAACAAAAAAAAACAGAACACAATTCGGAAGGTAATCAAATCATAATGAGTTATTCCCTTCTTTTTTTACAATATAATATTGTAAAGCATCATATATTGTGTCAATTTTTTATTGCAAAACTAATCGACCTGACAAGAGATATTTCTGTTCTGTGTTTTTTATCCTTTAAATTTCAAATTCTTCTATACGTACATATAGATTATTTAAATCTATTTTTTGTAAATATATTTTATATAAATAAATTATATTTAAAGTATATAATCAAATAAATTAAATAAAAGTATTTATTTTATTTCAAAATTGACATTCGAAATGTATTTATGTAAATTATTGATTCTAATTCATAGATCGATAGTCAGTCTCTTCAACATGAAGGTGCTGTACTTGCATGCAGACGGTTTAAGGGTATACATTCGTACGATAAAGTAGCTGAACTTTTATTTAACATATATACCGAATTTGGATTAAGCAACGACAAAATTGTGGCAACAATTACAGATAACGGTTCAAACTTCGTCAAAGCTTTTAAAAAATTTAGAATTGAATCGATGAATTTTTTACTTGCAAATAATAAATCAATTATAATAAATCAAGTAAATAATGTTAAACATAAAATTTTTAATTAATAGCACACATTTATTAAAAAATGAATTTAATTACTCAAACAAAGGTTTTTTCGTAATAAAATTTTATCAATAATTCTTTATCGAATCATTTACGCAAATCGTCGATATATTGAATAAAAACATCTTAAAAAAGAATCTGTAAATATGTTGTAATCTTTCTAAAAAAAAGCATGCAAATCAATACTCGTATCTATCGAAATATTGTTGCTGCTTTTCCGCGACGCTTATTGGTCTTCTCATTGCACTTATTTTATGAGTGTCATCGCGGAGATAATTTTAAACATATTTTTATGTATTTAATACAAAGAAACATGCGTTGAATAAATAAATTTATATATAAATTTCTTTTAAGCGATGTTATTCTTCGTATTCTTCATCAGATAAATGTATTATATAATTTTTATTACTTTTATAGGTACTAATCGAATTGACGATGTCGAAGAAAATGATACTGATAAAAATTGATACTGATATGGAATTTGAAGAATTGTCTTCTAAGAAAGATACAAAAAACGAAATAGTGCCTATTTTATCACACCATCAAAAATGTAGTCACTCTCAATTTACTAGCAAGCGCAGACTTTCTTAAAGTTCTCAAAAATGTACCACCTGTCGTTACTAAAATTCATTACGTAGTATTAAGTAAATGTACATATTTATGTAATATTTTAATGAATATTGCATTTTAATGAAGCCGATTGCAACGTCTTTAGATACTTTGCAAGCCGAAAATAACTGTTTTTATGATATGCTCATACCAATTTTATTTTCTTTAAAAGTGCAGCTTCAGCAGTTATTAGAAACACATATGCAATATTCAACGAGTCTGGTTGTATATTTAATGACCAACTATTAAAAAGATTCGACAAATATTTTGCTTTGTCACTTAACGTAAATGAAGCAATAATTGCTGCCTGCTTACATCCACAATTTAAACTTAAGTGGCCAAAAAATTTGCCAGAATCTGAAAGATGTAGAATAGAAAATTTATGCATAAATGCGGTAGATCAATTCGCCATCAAAAATTCACAAACTGTTAATCAATCTTCCAGCGAAGAAGAAGATAGTTTTTTATCTTAAATAATATCAAATAATAATATGATTGATCCTGAATCCTGCTCTAAACTGAAGGTAATATCATTTTTTAATGATAAAAACAAGAGTATGTCAAGTTTAGATAACTATACCAATATAAAAAAAACATTTATTCGGCACAAACTTTATATTCATCTGCTCCAGTGGAGAGATTATTTTCATTTGCTATTGCTACATTTATTAGCTCTCCAGCGCGCAGTTCTCTCTCAGATAAGTTTTTTGAGACATTATTGTTTTTAAAGGGTAATAATAAATATACTAAATTAAATAACTAATACATGTTTTAATATATTATTCACCAAGCGCCTCGCGTAAGTGCCCACGCCTGACGATGAGTTACGTCGCCTACCTATCGTATCTGACTCGTTATATAACAACTATTTCTTTTAATAATTCAAAAGTTAAGCTTCAAACAAAATTTTGGAAAAGAAAAAAATAATCTCAGAATTAAGTCAAAAATACATTTTAAGGTTATTACAGTTTAAGGTTACACATGATTGTTTTGAATCACCCTAACTGCTTAAACATCAACTGTTTAAATTTCAAGTTGTCATTCCAACACTACGGAAAACGAGTGATTTACATGCAGCTTATGTAAGAATCGTCAAGATGAAAGATATTGCTCATTTCTTTGTTTATTGACCTGGTATCGACGGTGATATAGAACAAATTGCCAAATCTTGCATTGAGTGTACTAAACATGCGCATTCTCCACCAAAATTTCGAGACCATCACTGGGAATATCTGAAAGGATCATGGGAGCGGATACATACAGCAGATACGTACTAACGGGACTAATCGCAGACACCATGTTGTTCCATTGTTGATGTTTACAGCAAATAGTTTGAAATGAGAGCAATTCACTCTACAATAACGACTTTAACGATCGCGATCCTTGATAATATATTTGCATCATATGAAGTTCCTATCATAGTCGTTTCAGATAATAGAACACAATTGACAGCTGCGGAATTTAAAGCGTTCTTATAATCAAGTGGAGTAAAATACCACAAATGTATAGCACTATACCATCCAGCGAAAAATGGTCAGGCAGAACGCTATGTACAGATCATTAAAGATGCTCATCGCATAATGTCTACGATACCAGGATCATTCAAATCTAATTTAAATAAATTCCTGCAATAATACAAAAAAGCCCTATATGCTACAATAGGACAGACACTTGCTCAATTATTTCTCGGACATAACAGCAGATCTAGTACGAATTGATGATGTGCATACAAATAACCAAAGAAAGCCAAAGAAACAGGAAGCTATATCCAGTCCTTCATTTCAGGAATTCAAGTCTAAAGATAATCTACTTCTTATCGAAAAATGTTTGTATAGACTGGATTAAAGGTAGAATTGTCATTAGATTAGGTGATCTTCATTTCGGAATTGATTATGGAGGCAGACGATAAAAGATATATAGATCACATACAAGCATATAATGAAGAGTTGAAGATCAATCCAACATCATTACACTGCAAAGAGGGATAAGTCACGCTGAGTTCATTTTTATGGATCACCTTGTATCAACTGCAACTGATTTTCAAATACTATCTATACCTTCGAGGTCACCTATAGCATTTAGAGGCACTTCCAACTCCAGAGAAGCAGTTTTGGACTTCACTCTCAATATCTCCACCGAGCCAAGTTCAATCGCCTCAAGTCTTACGGCGATCCATGAGATCACGTCGCCCCCCCTCTCCCCCATAAGATGTACTTATGGCTAGAGATCTCTTTAAAAATACTTACCTATTCTTTGTCGTACTCATAGTTCCGTGAATGAAAAAGAATATTACGATTGCGATTTGTATTTGACGGTTTAATGTCTGTTATCGACAAAAAACTATCGTCTTTTATTTCTATCGAGTGCCTCTAATTCTGTTCATATAAGCGCATAAGGCTTTCGACTATCATGATCAAAATAAAACATGTTATTAAGAAGTTCTCGTTAAATATAAATTCCTTCAGTCTGTGTCCCAAGAAACAAAGAAATTGAAGTGTATTTAATGCTGAAAACAATGATATATAAGAAAATCTTTCTCCAAAAACGCATTTTTGAGAAATATGCGAGAAATATCTCTATGTATAAACTTCATACGTATTCGTCTCATACCGCGTTGACTGCGCGGGACAGCATTAAAGGTGAATACAACACAGTCCATCAGTGCAGTAATAATTATTAAAATAAGACTTTTTAATAATAATAGTGGTAATAATAATAATAATAATAATAATAATAATAATAGTGATGATGACGATGATGATGATGATGATGATGATGATGGTGATGATGATGATGATGATGATGATGATGATGATGATGATGATGATGATGATGATGATGATGACGATGATGACGATGATAACGATGATCACGATGATGATGATGATAATGATTGTAATAATAATGATATAGGATTTTTATTAAATGGTATTCAATTATTTTTGATGATGTAAGAAGAAATACGAAGCTTTTTGCATAATTAAATGCTTGTTATGAATAAAAAAATGATTATAAAATGATTATAAAATTTTTATAAAATGTTGTTCATTTAATTTTAATCGCAGAGTAGTTAGTTGCAATGTTCGAATATATTTTATTCATTAATATTTATATTTCATGTCTTATTATCACAATGCTATGTAAGAAATAAATTTGCTGAAGTATAGTTTTATTTCCATACACTGTTTAAATGAGAATTCGTATAAAAAAGTGTATAAAAAAGTGAAAATTATTACAGCGAATTCACAATTTTATAATTGAATTCGTTCTATTACCAATTGAGTAAAGTATTACCAATTGATACGAATGAATGATATAAGGTTTAACAAGTAACTATTTACTTTTAAACGTTCTTATTGCTGTTTATATTTTCATACATTTTTAGTTTTATAATTAAGTTAAATTGAAATTTATCGTTATTTCATTCATTTAATTACAATTTTTTCATAAATAATTTATTAATTTTGATAATATTTTTTAAAAACTTTTAAACATAATAATATATGATCTATATATTATACAAGACTATTCATCCTTCCTATTCAACGAATAAAAGTAATTAGTTATTACAAGGATATATCAAATTCATGTATATAAATAATTATTTCTCTCCCTTTTTTATCTTCATTTCTAATATAACTTCTATTATATAGCTTTTAGCATATAGAAATAATTCGTTAATTTAAAAAATTAATAATTCTTTATTTAACCTTTATTCACAATAGGGATAGCCCTGAGAAGAGACCATTTTCAAAAATGTTACAATCTTTCCCTGTAAGAGATAATCGATTCTGTTTTTTGTAAATTTGATTTCGTCGAGAGGTAGTGCAAATGATTCCAAAGGTACAGTATAAGAAACTTCTGGAGTCCTCGGAGGTGAATCAAGAGTCTTCCAATCAGTATTCACTCCTCGATCCTTCGTAGCTGATTGAAACTGAGTTCCCCTAGTGATTCTGCTAGATGAGTCTACCTGGATGGCCTTATCTTCTCTCCAAAGAACCTTTTTGGACTAGGAGGTAAAGGAGAAAGAGGAGATGGAACCCTCCAAAAAGGTGATGTAAATTTCCATTTACGAGGACCTCTATATCTAAGGAACAATCTCAGAGGTTTTGTTCGTCACTGGAGAAAGTTCCAAACGGAAAAGCCTCCAAGGAGGAGAATTCTCTCATCGATTTCCTTGAGGCGACAGAATTAGGCTGGTACAACGCTTCGCTCTTGGTAATTGCTCCAAGACGGACGATTCTGCATAATGCTCTCTACTCTATTTCTGTTTTATTTATAGTTTTTGACTGTTTTCAAAATAAAGAAAATTTGCTTTATCGACAATTATTTAATTAATTTTATCTATGAATTTATCTCAGAGCGACGAAGTGAAATTGTCAAATACCGGGTGTACTTCTTATTTGGTATCTTTGATCGTCACAAGCTATTTCTATATAATTATTATATTAGAAATATACAAATAACTTTTAGAAAACATGCAGTTTAATCTACAAAAAATGTAAATTTACAAATTATGTTACTATACGCGATATTTAATGTTTTAGACCAGCGCTCGAAATTAGTTAAACATTTCGATCTGATTTCGTAGGCTTCCCCCACCACCGCGCGAGGCTCAGCGGCCGAGCCGCCGAACAGCTGTGTCTCAGGAGCGTCGTCGTATGAGAAACATATTACGTCCATTCGTTTTTCGCCCCGAATTGTTACTTAGATATCTTCTTTGCTAAATTAATTTTATTTTTATAAATAAATGAAACTTGAATTTTCTATTATTAATATACTACTTGTGCTTCATTTATGTATTTTATTTACGAGTGTTTCAAACGTAATAGGTCAAATATCTCAAAAGATATAAAAGATAAAACGATCTTGCGTTTCTGCGCGGATAGCGATCAGTCGGGGGGGGGGGAGGACGTTGGAGACAGAGAGAACAAGAGTTCTCACAGGTTCAATGAGAACCGAGTGAGAACAAGAGTTCTGTCGTTAACTTTAATGTTAACAAAAATTTATTAGTATATAACTATTAAATAAAATGTATTTATGTAATGTTATTAAATAGAATGATTAACAATTTGCGTTTGGATTTTTATAATATCTAGCCGTGATCGGACGCACAGTCATTTTTCGCAACATATTTTCATATATTAACAGAAAAGAGTTGTCGTTCGGGTGGTCGGAACGAAACTGTCGGTCACGCTGTAATTCGGTGGCGCGGAGCGCGCGGCGATAAGCGCATGTGGTTGCGCGGACTGTCAATTGTGTTTATCTGTCACGAGGATATCGATTTCGCACGAGCGCTTGATTATATTCGCGGGTCACGGCGTATTATGGCGGAGAACGGATGGTCCTGGACTCGTTATTTTTACCGATGATGGGAGTAATGCAGAATCGCCGAGCGTACTCGACAGACTGGGACGTGCCCCAGTGATCGGAGTTCGGATAAGCGGATTTTCGGTTTACTGTCATACTGGGGAGATCCCTGATATTCAGCGGAGGATTTCGGTGGCGGCGGAGCCGGACCAAGCGAACTTAGCGCATTTGGTCCCCCCAGTAACCACGGCGTTCGCCGTGTACGGATGCTCGGTGGGAGAATTCATCGACAGCTCAATCTGGCCAAGCGAACTTGGCGCGTTGAAGAGATTCCCAATAAATTTTTGGCTTTTGCCGTATACGGATTCGGATATTCGGTTTTCTCTTTAGCGGTTCTCTTCTGAGAACTTGCTCTCGAGAGCCCACGGAAAAGGATAATTTCTGTAAAG